TGGGGGCGGGGCTGCCAGTGGCTTGCTGGCTCATGTTTTGGGGCCACTGGATCAGAGGGTGGCCACTGCTAGCTCTGGGCTGGCAGGCTTGGAGCTGGTACAGGCACTGTGGCCAGGGTCTACCCCTTTAACAGCTCCAGGGCTGGGGGAGAGGAGAGTAAGTTTTCCTGGTTATGCCAAGAGTGGCCACTAGGGTTCCCTGGGAAGGGCTGGAGGCCTCCTATTTTGAATTAAGTGTCTACACAGCACTTAATTCAAAATAGCTATTTCGAATTTGGCATTACTCCTCATAGAATGAGGTTTACCAAATTCGAATTAACCGCTCCGCTATTTCAAATTCATTCTGAAATAGCGGTTTGCATGGATAGATGCTATTAAAGTTAATTCAAAATAACTTTGCAGTGTAGACATACCCATAAAGATAATAGCTGGTATATAATCCCAAACTATTTGAAATGTAGGACAACAGAAGAAGAAAGTTAGAATGGAAGGAGAGGAAGGCAAAATAAGTCAAAAGTATTTGAGAAGGAAAGAAAGGAATGTAAAAATGAGAGCAGAGCTGTAAATGAAAGATTAAGAGGATCTTGAGGGCAAGAGCAGAGTTTGAACATTATTTAATAAATGTCAGGAAAAAAAATTAAAGGATTCAACAAAAGGAGACAAGTAATGGAGACAGATTCTGAGATGAGAATAGGATTGCCATCTGGCTAATCACACAAAGCCAAACAATCTTGTCCCATCTAGGAAAGAATTGATCAAAACGATTAACCAGTTAAACAATGTAATTGTAATCGTTTAACTGATTAACTATTGGTGGGGGCAGGACAGCCAGGACGTGGGGGGTAGTTACCGGAGCTGTGTTCACTCCATCCCCCCTCCCTCCATCACTCACTCTCATTTTTCACTGGGCTGGGGCTGAGGGGTTTGGCATATAGGAGGAGTCTCCAAGTTGGAGCAAAGGGCTGGGGTGCAGGGTCTGGAAGGCCGCTCATGAAGGGAGTGAGAAATGCAGGAGAGACTCAGAGGTGGTTCTGGGTATGGGGTACAGAAATGGTGAAGACTCTTGGAAGAAATTGAGGTGCAGGAGGGAGCTCAGGGTTTGGGGTTGACATGCAGGCTCCGGCCAGGCAGTGCATACCTCAGGCAGCTCCAGGTCAGTGGTGCAGCAGGGCCAGGGCGCCTGTCTGCCCTGATTCTATGCCATTCCCAAAGCCACCTCCATGTCACTGTGGCCCGAGGGGCCGGTAGGAAGCAGGTAGAGCTCCACACACTGATCCTGCCACTCCCATTGGTTGTAGTTCTCAGCCAATGGGAGCTGTGGAGACAGTGCTGGTGGACCCTTTACTGTGTTACTAACTGCTAAGTTGTAGATCTCTATCACTAACACTTTGTAGGTTTTTGTGCAATTGTTTAACAAACTTGATTTAGAAATGTACTAACTGCATAAAAGGCATATTTCTCTAAATATGCAGGAACTATATATATATATATATTGACCCTTCTTTACTCCACTGACATTAAAAGACAAAATTTCTAGTCATTAAATAACTGTACAAATTGCACAAATCCTTCAAAAATTAGGAAGAGGTATGAAACGTATAGTAATTTATTTGTATTGTATACAGTTAAGTAATTTAAATGTCATTAAAAAATTGATTTTCAAAATGGCAGACACCACAAAAAATTAATGTGGCCAAACATGGTAACTAGGGCCCTGAAAGGGTAGGAAGGACTTCAAACCATGAAGAGGACAAAAAAAAGAGGAAGGTTGGCAGGAAAGAGAAAATAAAAGTTGACAAGGGACCTAAGGAAGCCTGCTACAAAAATATGGTGAGAAAAGAGTTATTCGTATTTACAGTAGTGGGCAACAGCTAGCTCCTGTTTACATATGGGCCCATGATCACACTTGCAGTTATACAGTTATGTCTACTTGTAGCTGAGTGAGCCCTTCAGTGTTGGCAGACAGAGTACTGGTAATAGGTCTTGCACTCACTAAAACAGCTCTGTGCACTTATCAGAGGGGTAGCCGTGTTAGTCTGAATCTGCAAAAGCAACGAGGAGTCCTGTTGCACCTTATAGACTAACTGAAGTGTAGGAGAATAAGCTTTCGTGGGCAAAGACCCACTTCGTCAGATACACCATGCAAGGCACTGCATTTAGCCGTATGGAGTGGAAATCTATCAACCTCTTGAAGAAACTTGCACAAGTACAAACAGATATCATCTGACATGCATCTGACGAAGTGGGTCTTTGCCCACGAAAGCTTATGCTCCTACACTTCAGTTAGTCTATAAGGTACCACAGGACTCCTCATCGTCTGTGCACTTAGTATCAGCAGAGGCTTGGGATAGGCTTGAACTAGGGTGGCTATCCTACTCCCAAGTCTGAGCTCAGGCATCTAGCAATTTTTACTGCCCTAGGATCAGCCCCATCAACACAACTCAGTCTTCCTGGGCTAGATGGCTCACTCCTAACTGCAGTGTAGACATACCTATGTGTTAAGTATTAATGGGGTGAGGGCAGGGGAGTGTCATTTGTGCTTCAAATTCCACATGTTCTATGAGACGATACCCACTTTTGCACAGTTATTGGAAATTGTGAATGAAAGGTTCTATAAAAGTACCTTTATAGTCTGATTACTTAATATACAGCAATTAGACTAGAGCAAGTTCAATACACTTATGAAAATAGGAGGACTATTCACAAAACCTCAGCAAAACTTCCACAATTGAACTGTTTGCTTAAAATGTGTTCAGAAAAAATTCCTTGGCAGGATTCAGAAGACATTTGTTGTAAATTTTGCTCTTTTATTAATTAAAAGCCATGTGAAGTTCTTTAAAGTTGTTCAAAGTCGTAGCCTGGACAGATTTCTGAAAGTTACCTGCTATCCACATTTACTAAAATTTACTGGACCATAGTGGCTATAGTAATCTGGATTCAATTACTACAGAGAATAGCACTATAGAAATGCTAGGATTTAAAGTTAATTTTTTATTTTACACCAAGACCATTACTGGTATGGAACCTGAGTCGTGTGTGCTTAAGGTAACAGTGGTTCAGTTGAAGTAAAAATAGGTTTACATTCCAAACATTTGATTGTATTCAAAATTTATTTTAACAAAAACAAGACAATGATTTTAAATAAACATGGTATATTTTAGACATCTGTTGATCAAGATTTAAAACTATTATCCATATTAAACCATAACTTATGTAGTTCTATTGCAGTGCTCTCTGCAGTATTCAAAAGTATTGGTTTCCATTTCAGCAACTCAACTTGCTAAGAGTACAAGAAATCAAGCTGTTTGCTTAAGTGAAGCTTCAGCTTTCTTTAGTGATGTAAGCTCCACCGATGCAAAAAGCACATCAAAACAGTTATTCTTCATACCCACAAAACTTAAAAAATGAAGTCTGTTCAGCCATTTTGGTTTTCCTTTTACACTGCCCACATGAAGAACAGCATAAAGTTAAGTACCAAGCTCAGCTTCACTTTAGCAGTGCAATGAACGACGTCAACCAAACTTCATGAAACAAATAAAATATAAACAATTGTCAGCAAAATTCAGCCGTATAGTAGTGATAAAAAAGCAACTGTTTAGTGGGTCACAACTAGACTGGTTTTCAGTGTGAAACTTTCCTCAGGAAGAGTTTCTTCCCAATTCACATAAAGAATGGAACATGCATCAAAAAGCCTTTGTTTTCTTGTAGAAAAATGCCCTTCGAAAACAAATTCAGTGATGTCATAAGGCAAAAGAATATGAAGCTGGGTGAAGCATTTGCCCCAGAATTTGTACATGCACACACCTGTGTGTATATCAGACAAACTAATGGATCGGCTCAGTAAGTTAAAAAATTGTCCATTTTCTATAAATACATAGAATTATTGCTAATATGCTACACATTATGCTTGGACAGAGGAGTGGCGTACAAGTTAGGATTTAAAGCTGCCATAGTGACAATGCTAGGACCGCATTTAGCAGCAGACATTCATCCCATTCTCAAGAAGCAATATGCAATTATACAGAAACATAAGGCTTATGCAATGTCCCTCTCCAATTTTGCTTTGTATTTTTTTAAAAAAATATTTAAACAAAAAAAAAAAACCAAACAAGTCCAGTTCACCACAAGTTAAGAACAATCTCACAATGGAGGTGGAAAACAAGCTAATAGGAGCAGAGAGGGAAAGAATATAGCATGCATTTACAACTTGGTTATAATCTAGTCATACCATTGGAATACAAAAAAAAAAATCCAATGTAAAGACTAGACTAACAGTAGAAGGCAAAAAGCCAAGAGTGTAGACTTAGTTTGATAGTTAAATTAAGGTTACAATTTCATCAGTAACAGCAAAATTCATCCTGCCTGTTAATATACTCACAATATCTACTGCAATTCAATATTTATTCATGACTAATATAGGTATATTATATACTCACTTAAAAAAAGATATTAAATACCTGCATCATGAAATTACATTCTTATTAACAATAAGACACTGTGTAAGAAAATAGCTCGTGTGAAATGTTTTTGAAATGCATTTCCCCCTCCCCCCCATACACAATTATCAAAACATTCACTCACAGAAACGAAAAGCCTCCTTAAAGAGGACGGGAATGATGAACGGGATTAGCCTGGCTAATTACAGCACAGTGATCAATAATGGTTCAAGACAGAACCAATCAGAGTTGGCCAAAAGATGCCCTCAACACATGGCTAATGAATAATTCCCCACATCCACCCCATCAAACTCAATCCACTTTTGGTTCATTGCAATGAGACAAAAATAGTTTTCAATATATACATATAAATACAAGACTCCAGCTTTTGTTTTTTGCAAGGCCTAGTTATCTATTAAGTTTATATTTGCTCTGCAGCAACTACAAGAGGTAGGCATAAAGCATCTAAGACTTTTCTCCTAGTGTTCCACTACTGTAGCTTAATCTTTCAAATGCTGAAGATGCCTGTTATACTTCTATAGTGATATTACTCTCCAATCAAAGGCCATTTACCTCTCAATTCACTTAGATAGCGAACCAGGAGCTGGAAGCTTTTCCCATACTAAAGGATACTGCCTTTAGAATTTACTGCAGAGCATTCAAAAAGAAAATGGATCCTGGGACCAATTCTCTTGATTTCCTTTTATACACAGAAAAGAAGGTACCATTTGGCCAAAACTATAGATGTATTTTTTCCACAGATGCAAGTGCCATGCAAAAATAAATTAAAGAACAAATACCAAACATATAATAAAACTATTGAAGGTAGATTTTAAAAGCATTTATATAAACATAATTTATAATACTTTTTTTTTTTCCTTTTTCCTTTTTTGAAACACAGTCACATAGCTGGGGCTATACATCAAGGATTTCCTCTGCGGTGCCTCCACAGCGTAATCTGTAGCGTCCTGTCCTCCAGCTTATAGTGGGGTCCCATAATGCAGATAGGAAAATGTATATTGTCATGGATTCTCTGATGAACCAAGCTACTGCATAATCAAGTTTTGAAAAACACAGAGCACCACCCTGGGAATGAAACACAGACAATATTTAAACACAATTACTAAAATCAATATTTATTGTATGGGGCACATTTTGTCTACAAGAGAACTACGTTATCAGACGTGCACAGTCTTTTATAAAATTAAAGTGTACTTGCTTAAGCAATTATCCTATAAATATACAACAGAATCCATGTTGCCAACATTCTGAAGCCTGCCCAATTTCAAAGCAACCCATTTATTAAATATTTTCAATGCTGTGTTTGTTACTGCCACAGTGGAAGGGCTTGGGGCTTGATTCAACACTCAATGAAGTCAGTTAACTTTACTGGAGATGTATCAGTCACTTAGAAACACAATAACAGCAAGCAGATACTACTACAAAAACACTTTAGTCAAAAGGAAGCTTATCATCCACAACTCGTTCAACAGTACTATGGCTAACTATTCACCTGCCATAATGAAGGCTAGAAACCAGGCCACCCACCCACTTCCCATGCCGCTGCCTCTATCAGAGACAGCAGCACGGGTTGAGGGGAGGCAGAGGAGGCTACCACAAAGCTTGTCCACTCCCTCCCTCCCTGAACAGGGGCTGCTGTCGCTGTGCATTGCTGCATCTGTATGAGAGGCAGCAGGTTTTTAAACTGGCTCACAACTGCCACTCTGCACTGCTGCCTTTTTAGTGTGCTAGCTTATACCAGAGCTAGTGTCTCCTCAAGCTAGGAATCAGAACCACAACTCACCCCATAGACATACCTACAGGCTTGCAGTCAAAGCAGGCTAAAAAAATTCCAATCTAATTTTGCATCACTAGGAATAAGGCATGTTTTAAGCCGTATGTATATCTTACTTTTTCCTTGCCCTAGGTATCTGAGTGCAAAATACCTTGAAAGGAAAAGGGCAAGCACACATAACCAAACACCTACAGAAGATAGCTGTTTTTCCCAGTATCATATGTAAAAATTCCCAAAGTGTGCAGAGAGAGCAGAGAACCAAATTTTGTCCTACCTTACACTCCAATTTAAACAGGGGTTTTGTGAACATATGATAGCAGAAAATGCATGAGGCTAGAATTTGGTGCATCTCCAAGGATGGTGTTTTACACAAGAGTCTCAAGTGAAGTCAGTTTTAACTGAAATAATGGCATTAGCAGTATTTAAGACATAGATCAATATGGACTCCAACTACATACCTGGACACCCCTTAGTTGAATGTAGTCAAATATAAACCATGCCAAACAGTGACACATGAAAAATACCATTATATCCCATCGGAAAACATGATGAGCTGCCCAACCAATAATTAAACTTGCAACAAAACATTCAGAGATTGGCTCACAAATTATCGTAGCAGGCAGCATGTTAATTCGCAGCTTGGCCCACCTATAATTAAAAATATAAAGTGTATTTTAATATCAGATAAAAACTGTGTTGCATAATACATAAAGTTCTGTTTTCATTTCTTCTCCTCTCTCCCAGTAAGTTTTGCTTTAAGTTTCTTCTCAATAAAACACTCCTCTAATTTTTTGCTTAATACCCAGTTGAGCAAATATTGGCATAAAGAATCTCTCTTATATGGGTATTGCACAAAACGTTAATCAAAACAAAAGCACCAAACACTTCTCCTGGAGTGTACTATAGTGCTTAAAAAAAAAAACCCCACATTCTTAAATGTTTATATCTATCTGTTCTATTAAAAGCTCTTCAGTGTTAATTTCTCTCAATACACTAGAAAGACCTCCCAGCACAAAAACAAATCAAAATGTAAGCTTTACTTTAGCAATTCTATTTGGTGAAATGGTTAGTTTGGAAAAAGTACATTATACCTTATAATTATGAACTGATTGGAGAGAGAGAGCGAGCAAGCCAGGAGAAAAATCTATAAGGTTAGAATTTTTACCTGATCATTCTGGACTGAAACTGTGAAATGGAATATGAACCAGAGTTTTGCATTGCAACTTGTGTGGCCATTGCAAATTTCCAACCTCTGAAAATGAATGCACACATAATAAATAACTTCCAAACAACACATGGAAATAAAATTCAAGAACAAATGTTGAAGGGCATTTCCAATTGCCATATATGATTAAACTACCGTGCTGAATATAATTTCTCTCCATACAAAACAGAGACTGATAACTGAAAAAGGATGAGTCACATATTACTGCTTCAGAATATTTGAGCCAAGAGCAACACCAAATTATGTATGTGCAGTATTCACAGGAAAAGTGAGCCCTTATAGACTTCTGAAATTGAAATGCAGGTTTAATTACTTTCAGAAGGAGCTATTCACATAGGACAGATGGACTTACATTTCTACCATTATTCTTATTTGGACTGCGGCAGTACCTAGAAACCCCAGTCAGTCAATATTTTTGGGGGGCACTAACACTCAGGTAGCACATACCTTGCCACAAAAGAGCTTGCACTCTTATGCAAAGAATGTGACTAGCAGAACAAGGAAAGGGATGAAAAAGTTTCCATGATTTCATAGAATCAGGGAGGCTAACAGACTCGCTGGTCCCCTGGGTAAGGTGGGGGGGAAGGGTTGAGGGAGGGAGAGAGGAGGAAGCAGGCAGGCTCTTTGCTGCTGGAAGGGGCAGGGCATCAGGCAGAAGGGGAGTAGCTAGGAACAGCCAGCCCTCAGTGCCGCCTGCAGTACGTCATGCTAACACCCCCACCAACCCTTAAATTGCTCCAGTGGCAATTTAAAAAGTGCTCCTCAAGTAGCGGTGGCAGCCAGGAGCACGAGGCGCTTTTGAATCACCGGGCTCCAGGGCAACTGCCCTCTTTGCTTCCCCCATTGGATTAGTATGTGCATAGCTTGGAGGTGACAAATCAACTGAAAGTTTTTTTAAACTCACTCAAATAAAATCTTACACCCCCAAATGTTGCACAACCTGGACAGCTGTTTGACAATCCCTTGCAGAGATTCCAACAGAAGTCGCTCTTTAGAGAGCACTCAAAGGAACACAGGTTAGCAGCTGTACAGATTAATTCAGAAAGGCCTTTTCATCCACAAGGGACAGAAGGGTGGAGTGGGAGGGCTTATGCTGCTATTTGTACATTAGGGCTGTCTAGACTTCAGGGTTTTTTTGAAAAAAATGTGCCTAGACTTCAGGGTTTTTTCGAAAAAAATGTGCCTTTTAAAAAAAAACTTCACCTGCGTCTAAGAATGCCGCTGCATTCTTTCATAATTAAAATCGAAAGAATGCGGTAGTTTTTTTCCACAGCAGTAAACCTCATTTTACGAGGAAGAACGCCTTTTTTGAAAGAGCTTTCTAAAAAAAGGCGTTCTTGACTGCAAACAGGGCTTTTTCAAAAGAGCATCCAGATCACTCGGGCACTCTTTCGAAAAAGAGGATCGCTTTTTCAAAAAAAAGTTGTGGCTGTCTAGATGATCTCTTTCGAAAGAAGCATGCAGTCTGGACATACCCAAGATGGGAACACCTATCATGGCTTTAAAGATTCATGGGACGCGTGTTTCAAAAAAGGAATTTAAGAGGCAGTTTTCACTTACAAAGAATGTAAATATAGAATACCTCTGTAAATATAATATTGTCTAATGGAGACTCACTGGAAGTTCTTACCGGTCAGCTATTGCTTTGGCCATAAAGTAATCTTCAGCAATGTACTGGGCAAAAGCTATCAATCCTCCAGCTTGGTCTAATACATCCTTTCTCATCAGGCAAGACATTCCTGTTACACATTTGAAGCCAGTTACATTGGCAGAAATATATGATCTGGGATGTGAAGTGCCAAAATATACCTACAAAAAGGAAAAAAAAAAAAGTAGTAATAAAATTGGCTTTACAATTACACAGTTTGTACAAGTTTGTTTTCTAGTCAAATGACTTTCTACTTCACTTATGGCATCTTTACTATCAAATTTATTTTTCTAAACGACTGAGAAGATATTAGCTAGTTAGAGGTGGCTGATTTCACTAAAATAAACTTTGCAGAAATCTTCCAAGCAGCTACAGTTTTTGCATTGTGCTATTTGCTCTCAAACTCTTCTGCTGTGCAATACAGAACAGCATAAAAAGAATCAAAAATTAGACTTTCATTTCTTTTCCTAAACTGCAGAAAGCAACTTTGTTTCAAAAGTTATTTACTTTAACAATGCAAATATCAATCACCTGTCTTGTATTAGGTACAATGTGGTTTTCTTATGTATTAATATTTGTTCTGAATTCTTACTGCTTTACATGGTCTCATTGCCACTTAAAATATTATTGTATTTCATTGCCCTATTATACATAGTTCAAGAAGTCAGACTTAGATAAAACAAGGTTTAATGACACAGGAAACCAGAACATATGCAACATACTACTTCTATTCTGCAATTACCCATTTAAAAGTATAACAGTGCAAACACAAAAGAACAAGCAATTTTAATGAGCTACCTCAACAAAAATTGATCTACAGGTTAAACTTCTCTAAACTGGGACTCTCTGGACCTGCAAGACCACGGATGTTCCAGGACCAGAGAGTCCAGGTGGAGGGCTGGCGGTATGGCTGCCTGGCGGAGTCAGTAGAGCAGCAAGGCCAGTGGCAGGGGAGGCCAAAAAATTACCTCCCCTGGTCCAGCAAAATCCCTCATCTGCGATCAGTCAGATCCCAAGGGTAGCGGACCAGAGAGGTCCAACCTGTAGAATAAAATATATCTGTGGTCCCACCAGCCCACAAAATCAAAATGATGCACAGTATTGATTTCAATAAGGGTAGATGGAGAATTTAAAATATTAAGCTGAGGTTTCACCTATAAACATCCGTTTAGAGGAACTTCCCAGGGCCAATGAGGATCCAGCAGTGTTAATGGATTACATAGTGGCAGCTCTTAGTTATATGGTACTTTGCAGAGGAATGGGGAGCCTCACAGAATTGCTAGGCCACTGGACAAGGAGGGAGGGAGTGGCAGCTCTTTGCTCCCAGGAAGGGTCAGGGCCTTGGGCAGAAGGGCTGAGGCTAGGGACAGCCAGCCCTCCTCACCTTCCCTCACCAACCCTTCAATGAGGCCTGTAACTCCAGCAGTGATTTAAAAGGCCCAGGGCTCTAGCCGTCGCTTCTGCTATAGTAGTGGCGATGGCTGGGAGACTCAGGCCCTTTTGAAACACCAGGCTCCAGGGCAACAGCTTCCTTTACCCACTCCTTCCATTGGCGGGCCTGGAATGGGCTGTGATGATTCAGTACTAGAAAAATAAAGGATGCTTCTGGCTTTGTTCTAGTGAATAACAAAAGGATGTGCTGTGACAGGATAAAGATTCAAAGCTGGGGGTGGGAGATGTTAAATGGAAATTAAATACTTGGGTTTCCCCAAGTGTTTAAAGTTTAATTTATTTAAACTACCACATTTTAACTTGATCCTTTTTATTTACATCATACATTTCCAACTACTCTAAAAGAAGAACGTTCAAGAAAACATGCACATTATCACAGTTTCCGTAAGAAGTCCATTATGGTTTTACAAAACTCTTACTAGAAATAAAGTGTTCATTATAAGGCTATTAAGTAGTGAGTATTTCAATAATCAAATAGTCAATGCATTTTTGCTTCGACTATTCAATTAGTTGAAAGGGCGGTGCTGCCCCTTTGAAATGCTGCCACAGCGTTTCAAAGGGGCAGCGCAGCAGGAGCCCAGGGATCAGTTGGGGACTCCCCAGTTGATCCCGGGGTTCCATGTGGTGCTGCCACTTTGAAATGCTATGGCAGCATTTCAAAGGTGCAGCACCGCACAGCTGATCCCGAGCTTAGTAACGCACGGAGCCTGGGGTCAGTTGGGGACTCTCCAGTATCAAAGCAGCAGCACTGAACAGAGCCCGGGCTCCTTGAGGCACTACCGCTTTGAGGAACACCCCTTCCCCCACTGCATCTATTTGATAGAGGCAGCAAGGGGGAAAGGAGCGACTAGTCAATTATCCTGTCGACGATCTGATAAGCTTTTGCTTGTCGGATAGTTGACTAGTCCTTAACATCCCTAGTTCATTATCAGATCATACACAGACTGCACTTTAGTCATATGTCATTACCATCCCTTTATTCACCACTATACCAAATGTTTTACCCTATAAAAGATTGTACAGAAGAGGTGGTGTATATATTTCTGCTTTTAATTATATTAAATAGTTATAAAGGATGAAATTCACTTATGGGCAAATACTCACAAGTTTTTCCAAACAATTTCAACCCAGAGTACCCCAAATGGGAGAGAGTTGGCAGAGGGGTCTTCAGGGCCAGCATGAAAGCCCTTTTGACAGCAGGACTGTGAATATGCTGCTGAGACACCAAGGGAGGGGCTCTTTGTTCTGTATGCATGGATCCATTGGACAAGAACTGTTGCTTAAACAAGGGCAGTAGCAGTTGTGATTCTAGTTCACAGGAAAGGACATGCCCCATAAGCACATTAGAGGTGAATTCAAGCCTCCCCCACCCCAGAAAGGAATCTCAATCAACTGGACCTTGTGCTGAAAGCACTGAATTCCTGGTCAGTTCACACACATTTTATAATACATTTCAAACATTTTATATGAAAGTTGGAATCTTAGTGACCGCTTTCGTTTCAGTGTCTATTACAAGTTTCTGTAAACTAGGTTTAATAAGCATGTGAATGTTTTACAATTTTAAAAATATATATTTAAAATATCACTTAAAATATCACTAAATAGTTCTATGTTATGATCACATGCTCCCCATGTTTAAAGATTAATAAAAATAGCTGAAAGTTAGATTGTAAAACCCACATAGAGAACAATTTTTCCTCTTCCTTCCTTGTGACACCCTTTTAGATACTTGAAGATAAAAACCCCATTGTTGGAAAGAATCCACCACAAAAGAAAAGTAAGATTGCACTTACCTGTTCTAGAGTGGCAGCAAAGCCCTGTCTGTCTGCTACATAGGGCAAGCCATGGACCAAACCAACTTTTTCTGTCATCTGATTGGCCATATCAGTTAGGGTGTCTGGGGTTACTAAATAAAGTGATAGATTTGCAAACACTGTAGTCTATCAAACCGTTCATTATTAATAGTGAAGTTCATGCTATACAGATGTATTGAAATTCATATTCTACTACTAAAAGTGCAGAGAAGGTTAGTGACATATTTGGTGAACTAAAAATTCCACTAAGACTGGAATTGTCAATGCTTTCAGTATGGCATAAGTTTCTAGCATTGTGCAGACTAGCAGCAATGGACAATAAAAGGACACTTTTTTCCTTTAAAGAAGCAGAAATGGTTATGATTGAGACCTGAAATCAGAATACTAGCAACTCAAGCACTAAAGTATCAAAATATTTGTTTCATTTTTAGAAGCATAGACATCTTCCAAATCTAAAACTGAGTATACTACTTTAAAAGAAAGAGGTTACTTCTGCCTGAAGTCTCTTATTTTTCTAACTGGTCCATTACAGCAAGAGACGTGCCTATTTCAGTATCAAGCCTGTTTGTGTACAAAAATACCAACTATTCTATTAGCAAGACCAATGGTTTGGCACTTATTATCCATGCCTGTGCAGAACTTACATACAGAGCATTAATCACACAGGTTCAGCTTAATTTAGATTTGGAGCAATCAATCAACACTCCACTAAATTTGGTACAGATAACATTTCAAATATTTTAAATTCAGAAAACATGTCATTTAGAACCCAAAATTAAAGCCGACAGTGTCCTTTAACAGTTGTACAGGCAGTCCCCGAGTTACGCGGATCCAACTTACATCGGATCCGCAGTTACAAACGGGGCTTTTCTCACCCCGGAGGACGGGAACGGCGGGACGCCCAGATGCACTGCGGTCCGCCGCCCCCGTCCTCCGGGGTGAGAAAAGCTGCTCCCCGTCTCCCTGGTCTGCAGGGAGCAAAGCCACGGAGCATGCCCGCAGGGGGACAGCTCAAGCGCGCCTGGGCTGTCCCGCTGCGGGCGTGCTCCAATGCTTTGCTCCCCGTCTCCCTGCAGACCAGGGAGACGGGGAGCAGCTTTTCTCACCCCGGAGGACGGGGGCGGCGGACCGCAGTGCATCTGGGCGTCCCGCCGTTCCCGTCCTCCGGGGTGAGAAAAGCCCCGTTTGTAACTGCGGATCCGATGTAAGTTGGATCCGCGTAACTCGGGGACTGCCTGTACAACTGTTAAAGGACACTGTCGGCTTTAATTTTGGGTTCTAAATGACATGTTTTCTGAATTTAAAATATTTGAAATGTTATCTGTACCAAATTTAGTGGAGTGTTGATTGATTGCTCCAAATCTAAATTAAGCTGAACCTGTGTGATTAATGCTCTGTATGTAAGTTCTGCACAGGCATGGATAATAAGTGCCAAACCATTGGTCTTGCTAATAGAATAGTTGGTATTTTTGTACACAAACAGGCTTGATACTGAAATAGGCACGTCTCTTGCTGTAATGGACCAGTTAGAAAAATAAGAGACTTCAGGCAGAAGTAACCTCTTTCTTTTAAAGTAGTATACTCAGTTTTAGATTTGGAAGATGTCTATGCTTCTAAAAATGAAACAAATATTTTGATACTTTAGTGCTTGAGTTGCTAGTATTCTGATTTCAGGTCTCAATCATAACCATTTCTGCTTCTTTAAAGGAAAAAAGTGTCGAAACGGGCGCCAGCCGCTGCTGAAACTGATCAGTTTCAACCGTGGCTGAATCTGGACGCCAGTTCTGACTTACATACAGATTCAACTTAAGAACAAACCTACAGTCCCTATCTTGTACGTAACCCGGGGACTGCCTGTAATTCAATTTTTAACAGTTGTAATTCAATTTTAAGTCAATCTTATTGTATAATCTCATGAAGTAATCAATCAGTATGTACCACTCCATTTTTAAAGTCAACTATTTCAAGTGAATATTCCAAATGGCACCATTCCACCACACACTTACCTCGGATCCCACTGTCACAGATCCATATGAGATCATACTTGGCAACGTCATACCCTGGCATTAAATTGTTAATTTTTGGGTTTATGCCAACCTTTTTTCCACCTTAAAAATAAAAGTTATACATCATGCATATTTTCAAAATTCAGAAGCTATTTTATAAAATAGCTACAGGTTGAACTCCCTGCACCCTGGGGACCCGAACAAGGGAATTTTCTGGACCAGGGGAGGTCAGACATCTGGGCTCTCCCTGGGTTCCCCTCCTGGCTGCTGCCCCAGGAGAACCAGGAAGCTTAACTTTCTCTGGCCCACCCTCCAGGGTCTGCTTATCCCAGCTCGTTTGCGGGGCTCTGCTCCCAGGCTCCCTAGCCCTGCATGAAGCGGCAGCTGCTCCCAGGTTTCCCGAGCTCCCTGCCCCCAGCCACCTGGCCCCATACAAGGCAGCAGCCACTGTTAGGGATCCCTGCCCTCATCCTCCACTAGGTGGCATTCCTCCCAGGGCTCTCTACCCCCAGGTCATTGGTCTTGCAGACTGCCACTGACCAGACCAGCTCCACTTCCAGCTGCTCTCAACTTCTGTGGCCAGGGCTCTCAGGTCTAGCAACATATGTGGTCCTGGTGGATCATGAATGTTGCTGGACCTCAGTGTCCCAGATGAGAGAAATTCAACCTGCAATAGAATACGGACTCGTACCTGTCTCTCTCCCACCCCCCAAACCAATTTTATAGAATGATAGAATCATAGAACTGAAAGGGACCTTCAGAGGTCATCGAGTCCAGTCCCCTGCCCTCACGGCAGGACCAAGCACTATCTAAGACCATCCCTGATAGATGTCTGTCTAACCTGCTCTTAAGTATCTCCAGAGATGGGGATGCCACAACCTCCTTAGGCAATGTATTCCAGTGTTTAACCACCCTGACAGTTAGGAAGTTTTTCCTAATGTCCAACCTAAACCTCCCTTGCTGCAGTTTAAGCCCATTGCTTCTTGTCCTATCCTCAGAGGCCAAAGAGAACAATTTTTCCTCTTCCTTCCTTGTGACACCCTTTTAGATACTTGAAAACCACTATCATGTTCCCTTCTCGGTCTTCTCCTTTCCAAACTAAACAAGCCCAATAGTTTCAGTTTTCCCCTCATAGCTCATGTTCTCTAGACCTTTAATCATTCTTGTTTCTCTTGTCTGAGCCTTCGCCACATCTTTCTTAAAATGTGGTGCCCAGAACTGGACACAGTACTCCAACTGAGGCCTAATTAGCACAGAGTAGAGTGGAAGAGTGACTTCTCATCTCTTGCTCACAACACTCCTGTTAATGCATCCTAGAATCATGTTTGCTTTTTTTGCAACAGGATCACACTGTTGACTCATATTTAGCTTGTGGTTCACTATGACCCCTAGATCCCCGTCTGCACTACTCCTTCCTAGACAGTTGCTTCCCATTCTGTATGTGTTAAACAGATTGTTCCTTCCTAAGTGGAGTACTTTGCATTTGTCCTTATTAAGCTTATTGATGGTGGAGCCAAGTTTTCCACAGTCCAGCAAAGTCGGTTTATAGTTGCCAGTCCAGGCTTTCAGTGTTCTGTGCTGTTATTACCTCTAATCTATCTCTAAATGTCTTCTAGGAGACCTGCAAGCAATGGAATTATTGGTAATACTGCTAAGTGCAAGTATGTGTCAATACAGCAAAAAGGTGGAATTATTGCAGAAATTGGAAAAATGGCACATTGGTACACTGTGCCATTCGTTTGCCTTGGCAAAACAGAAATAAAAGGCCTGTTCACTATAATGTTGACCTCCCATGGTTCGGCAAAAGTCAGATCCTGATGGTGCCAGACTACAGAGGTTCAGCCTGTACAGAGCCAGAATCCACAAATAGGTTACCCAATTTAGAGGGCTCCACACTTTTTGCTGATATTCCTTTATGATCCATTTATAAAGGCATTGAATTGTGCCATACAGTTGCCTTACTTACCTATGAACAATCTAGCATCAACATTTGGGTATTTGCCAAGGAGCTTTTTGCACACATCAATAGCTGGGTCATCATGATCTTGTACACACAGGAGCACTTCATACTAGTATACAAAGGTTTGATGAAAATTAGTGTACAAATTCTTAAAAGGGAGGAAATAGTTAAAGAGTCTACCAAACTCTATCCGAACTTTTGACACTGAATGTAGCATTACAGAACTAAAGGCATAGGCATGCGCAAGGGGTGTGCCAGGTGTTCCCGGGCACACCCTAACAAAAAAGTGGCTTTGCATTTTAATTTAAATTGTATGCTATGCTCTTTTAAGTAAAGTTTAGTTAATTTTTAAAAAATTAAATTTATAGTTAAGTTTTAGTTTCTTTAGTTTGTTTGATGAATAAAAATAATGTCCTTTATGACTGAGTATTCAATAAATGTTCGCCTTAAAAAAAATAAAATAAAATTCCCTGGATGCACACCCTAATGAAATGTGCTATGCATGCCTATGACTAAAGGATTTGTTTTTACATCTAGATAGCTACATGTATTGTATTATTAGTGATTAATGCATTGTTTAGAGAATACCATCAGTATTTCTAGGGGAGGAAAAAAATATAACCTTCAGCCACAAAGAACATTTTTGTATTTGTAAAACATTTTCGTGTGTTACTGGAAAGACGTTTTTATGCATGAAAAGTATTGTACAGGAAAAAAAGTTAGATGTTAGATTCTCTTTTTCACACAAGAAAACCAAATTTGTTTTGCAATTACATTTTAAGAATCCCAAAATATTAAGGATATTTTAAGGCTGCAAGGTTTTCAATTTCTACTATAAGACTGAAACCAGTGTAAGTGTTTACATTGTCCAGAATTCAAAATTTTAGTGAAAGACAATGTGGCTTTCAGAAACAAAGCTGTATTTGGTCCCTTTTCTTACAGAACTTAAGACACTTTGCCAAGTACTTGTGGAGTAAAGGGATTGAGGGCCTGACCCTAGAAAGGAATTCTCAGCCTCTTATTCTCACTGAGTGTCCAAGACCTCATTTGTAATAAGGCTACAAAATTTCTGTTTTACTTTTGTGGCAAATAGCCAATACTATTGTGGTGGGTCAGGGCTCCACAAGTGCCCTGGAAGAGGAGAGAAGGAGAGTGGGAGAGGGACCCAAGTCCACTCACTATTCCAGTACCAGCCCTTTAAGCTCTGCATGCTTCTAACCCTCTTTTCCCTTGGTCAGGATTTCTCTTTGTCCTCTGTGTTGGGGGAGTCACTCTACTTTGCTCCCTTCTCCTGGTACTCTGATCCTCTAGTCAACATCAGTACAACTACAGTCAGCTCTCCTTCCTTTCACTGCTTCAGGCAGACAGGAGGTTTTTATTAAATTTGGGTAGGGCCTGGACTGACTCCAGATGCTCTAGTTAAACTGTAGTAACCTCTCCTTAGTCCACAGGGAATAAAGTTTGATCATCCTGGGGCTTATATATTTCTCATCGATTACTCTCCTGATGCATCACAGTTCTTACATACTTAACACTGTAAAACACATTGTAATAGTGCCTAGCCTGGTATTTCAGAACAACTCTAAGACTATCTCTCAGTCTATTACATAAATAGATCCTGCCCCCCCCTCCCCACCACCACACACAAAAACTAAAACACAAATGAACCCTAAGATAGATATATCAGCTGTAGGTAAAAGTGTGCAAACCAAAGAACAAATGGGATCCAAACATTAACTGACAGTGGCTTTAAAACAGCGTTTAGCCCACAGGGTCATTTTCAATTCATGCTATACCAAAATGATGGATAAGCATCCTCTGCATTAAAGAAAGCAGAGGAATGTAGCAGAGAGAGCACCTGAAGCACTGAAAGTGGAGCAAGATTTGAGGGCTGAACCAGAAGCTGTACATCAGTCAGGCCACATATTAAAATGCTTATAAGTTACCTGCCCAGTTCATAAACTTAGCAGAAGTTGTTGCTAGTGTAGTACACACTATTTATGTAAATATATTGCAAAAAGTTAGTACAAATAAATCCCAAATCTAGTACAAGATAAGATGATTTGGCAGAATAACGAGCAGGATATTGTGTCTGGGTTATCAGGAAGAAGGGAAGGTAAACAGAAGTCATGAAATACATAAGCCAGTACATGTGATCTCCATCTATTACATAAAAACATATTTTACTCTATGGTTTAATAGCTCTAGCACAGGCCACGAATTCAACTCCTGAAAAAAAGTAAACTCATACATACCTTTGGATAATCTAGTTCAAAGAAGGTCTCTAAATTATTGATGAGATTTGAATCTACACCTTTTAATGGCTTTAGAAGTGAGACACCAGGAAGCTTGCTATAGGGTTGTTTGTCTGTTGCTTTCTTGTTGAGATGGAGACGACTGCAAAAAATATATATACACACACCATGTACTAAAGAAAATAGGACGACCCTGAATGTCATTAATTAAGTGATTCTACAATATACAAGAGCGTGCAACATGTAGAAAATTAAAGGTTTTGTCAGGGGGTTGTTGAATGTACGGCTTATAGACAGGAAGTCACATACAGAAAGTTGTTGCCTTAGAAAGTATTTCTGGACTTACAGGTAAATTACACACCAAACCTCATACCTTTGATGTTGTTTGATTCAAAGAAGTATTGAAACTATTAGTCTGAACACTAAGTAATTCTCAATTTCAACTTATAAAAAAAGGTCACATTAGTGTCAAATTTTTCTGTTTACTTTGTGCATTTGATTATATCTAATCAATTTTTCTGTTTTCCTGTGTAGTCGGTTCCCTTTTTGTATGGGTCTTTCAAAGAGCAAGAGAGGAGATAGAGAAAAGCTATTCATATAAATAGATCCTATAACAAACAAAAACAAAAAACCAAACAAAAAAAAAAATAGGACTCTACAGCAGATGTGCACTTGAAACTACAGTAAACTTCTGATAACCCGGCACCTTTAGGACCCAGGGGGTGCCAGATTATCAGATATGCCAGAGTACCGGAAGTGGGACTATGAGGGGATTGGAGTGGGGGGCGGGGGGAGGGGCAGCGGGGAACTGCGTAGCATGAGAGAGGGCAGCGCTGTGGGACCAACCAGGTAGCACCCCACCTGCTCTGCCCCCAGCTTCCCCAAGTCAGCTGCTGCTGAAACTGACCAGCAGCAGACTTGAGGAAGCCGGGGGCAGAGCAGCTCCAATTGTTCGGAGCACTTCTAGGTTCCAGTTGGTGCCAGACTATCAGGAGTGCCGGACCACTGGAGTTTTACTGTACTA